TTGCCCACAGGACAACCTGACACTAAAGACTGAGCTATACAGACCCTATTTTAATTAAATGTCGTTGAAACATTTTATGTCTAAATTAAATTAATCCAAAGTCGTTATTAAATAATTTACATTAAATTAAAACCCCCTTATATTAATTAAATATCCTTAAATAGTTTTCACGACACGATTAAATCTCTAGATAGGTTCTAATGAAGCTTGGTGGCCTTCAATAAGATACGTGTTTCGTATTATTTTTTTATTAAGTTATATTTTTGTATTGATGTTATATTTTCGTTATAACCATGTAAATGCTAAATAATTGTAAATATGATAAATAAATTTAACAATAAGAGATGTTCTGGATGAACTTAAAATAAGTACATTTTAAAATGCCTCAGTAACAATAGGAACAGTGAATTAATGAAGTAAGTTTCTGAGCCTTATGCAGGAACTTCATCCTGGAAACCGCTGTCTCCTATATGAAGTCTGTCTGGAGTAATTATTGCTAGATTCCTGCCATTCTCCATTATTTTTAGTAAACGCTAGTTTCGAGGAATGTTCTTCCGCTCACCATATTGCCTCTGCAAATCTCTGGAGTAGGTTTTTAGCTGTTACATTTATTTTTTATATTATAATATTTGTAGATTGAATCCCTATAGGTAGCGGTGATGACAGTAGCCTGGTACCCATCGGTCTTTTTCCTTCAGTCTATTCCTTTCTACTAATTTATCTTAATGAAATTTTGAGAAAAAGTTATATTGAGACCTTCTAGAACTGTAGGTTTACCAAATCATGACATAGTAATTCAATTTACAAAACCATTATCATACTCAAAGTTCTCTATCGATGCGAAACTTGAGCGATTACATTAAGGGATGAGCAACATCTTAAGGGTTTAGAAGATGAAATATTGCGTTGAATATTCGGACCGATGAAGGATGAGCCAATCGGAGAATTTAGACGATTAAACAACGCTGAATTACGTGAACTATACCCGGTTAATATAATTGAGGTAATTAAGCTGCAGCGAACAAAATGGGCTTGTAAAATTGTTGAGATTAGTAATGAAAGACGTTTGGTGGTGACGGCATCGAACCTTCGTGTTCACTAAGTCGCTTTATTATTATTATTAACTTGTAATATTTTGGATATTACCTTTTTTCATCATTGTTCAATATTATGACCAACTATATTTGCATGGGACGTTTCCCGAAAACAAATAAAATATTCATTCATTCAAGCATTCAAAGATTCCTATCAGGATTAGGTGCTTTCTGAAAGTTTATGGAATTAAAAAAAAACAAAAAACAAATATTCGCTAAAATATAAGCTAGTTAATGAGCAGATGAATGCGTAAGTATATGGGGAGGTTAGTTGAGTTAAAGCTGATCTGGCGGGGCTCGGTTTCGATGGTGACCGGTAGAAGGAGGTGTGTAGACCCCGATTAGTGGTCGGGATAGAACCTTCGGGTTCACCAAGCCTTTTATTATTATTTATAACCCTAATTCCAACTGGGTCTCGAACATTTACGTTATTCTTTTTTAATTGCGTCCTTATTGCGTAATTTTCGATTCTATTGGTTCCTGTTTCTACTGATTTGTTTTTAAATTATTCTCTGTTTTATTTTTTTGAGAAGTTCAGACCGTCCATTTTTTTAAAGATTAGAAGAAGACTATATTGTTTTCATCTTGATTATTTAGATCTTTTAATTTAAAAACTTTCTTCTTTTTTTTCTATTATTTCTATAATCTTCATCGAGCCCGTTTTTTTTTCTTATTACTTTCCATATTTCCAAGATAAAAATTAGCGACCTCTTAATTATTATCGCGATTTCTAACCATAACTTATTTATGCCTTCACGATCATCATCAAAAGGTTCTAATGCTTCAAACCTATTCATAACTTCTAGAATGAACCGATTTGTAATTAAAGGAATTTTTAATTTAATCTGAATATTTTTTCGGAAAAGAAACTATTTTCTCTTCTTTTCTTTGTATTAAATTTATATCGAAGTTTCCGAATAACTCGTTCTTGATATGACCCCATATTTCCTTCTTCAAGTAGATAGCAATTGATGACGTCAGCATCGAAGCTTCGGGTTCGCTTAGCCTTTTATTATTATCATTATTATTACATAGTAATTCATTTTAATAACACATTCACATTACACGAACGAGCAGTTTTTAAAATATTTATAATATGAAAAGAATATTGCCATCTTAATTTTTAGTAAGTAAATTTGTTATGTTACTAAATTATTACAGAACCATCAATCACAGTATAAATAAATTTATTGTAATTTTCATACAGTTGCATGTTTTTTACGAAAAGTAAGTATTGAACTAATAACCCTGTTCTAATTTTTTTAACGTTGTAATTGCAGTTATTTGCATAACTGATTTATAATAGTTATAAATACAAATTTTTATGATCATGCTCTGACATTATCTAAAGAGCCAGTTACCATAAAATTCATTTATACATACAACTAGACTTATACAATTAAACAAATACGTAATGTTTCTATTCACACAAATAATTCTTTAAATAATACTACAATAATACTCACGAACAAATAAACAAGTAGTTCAAACTATGAATTCTAATAATTATTTATGTCACTCATTAGATATCAACTATAATTAAACCTCATTACCAATCTATCTCTACAATTCCAGGCTAATTTACAGTATTTTATTAGTGTAGGATAATTTTTACTATATAATTTTACATTCAATTCTTCGATTGACAATACTTTTTTCATGAAATCTTATCCATGTAAATTTAAACAATATGGTGTACAAGACTATAAAAAATAAAATTATTTTTCAAATCATTTTGATTACATTCAGAACTTATTTCGACCTCAATCTCGTTTTATGTTCTGCCATTTAACTTTATTTTTCAACATAGCAAGTCTTATTTTCGTCACCTTTTTTTATTTAGCATCAACAAATGTAACAAGAAAGATGGCATTTTTTTTTTTTACTTTTTCAATATTTGTTCTAGATATATTAACATATTTCTTATTTATTTATCAGTGAGATACATGAGCTGTAGTGAAATAAATGAGTGATCTGTAATGCTACTTTTATGATATGTAATACTCTTATCATATGGTGTAAATAACGCCAAGACAAGCTAAGGCAACACCATGGGGCTTCGGACGTTATAGACCTGTATTTGAAAACAATAAAAATTTAAATAATTAAAGCTACCGAAAAACTAACAAAAGAATTAATTAGCTAAGAGAATAGACTAGTAGTTTCTGAAATTAGCCTTCAAACAAATATTAATTTTTAATTTGAAATATATGTTTTCAACGAAAAATAAAATTGAAATTCTAATTAGGTTTTAATGAATATTCTTTTATCTTAACTTATTTAATATTTGTGCTATGTAAATGGAAACATGGAAAATGTTGTAAAATGGTCCCCATTCTCTGTCTCTAGCTATGTTAAGAAGATTTCTTCAAAACTTGCCGGTTTTTGTCCCATTTCTGAGAGGTTTAAAGGTCTCTCATATGAAAATGAGTTATCACATCCACAATTAACTTTCATATATTTCTAAGTCTGTACCAATACCAGTACTGTACTCAAGAAAACATGTGCTAAATTTTAAGAAAATTTAAGATGTTGAAGTTCAAAATTTTGTCAACCTTACCTCCATAGCTGAAATATTCTTTTTTTTTTTTACAGAGAAGTAATGAAATCCTCAAGGCTTCCGTTGCACTTCTCTATTGGTAAGTACTAATAGCCAAGTAAATTTAAGATTTGATATCAAGAAAATTCATAATTGGCTGTAAAACGTGAGAATTAGTTCCTTATCGAATGCAGAATAAACCATAAAATCGTACGCCTGCTTCCATCCAAAATGGAGGGTCAAAGATGGCCACCTGGCACTTTCTGTCTTATTTTATATTTTTCCTCATATCTTTTTCAAAAACCATCCTTCTTGAATTCCATATTGAGTTCGCCTGAAAAAAAAATTATAAACCAGCTGTAAATTGATCTATTTGGCGTCAAAACCGTGGATTTTCCTTTATTTTAGTTCTCTCATCCCTCATAACTTTAAAACTATTGACAATGAGAAATAATGTTTCTCATATTTTTTTGTAGTCCTTAGTAAGAGGGTTGCTCAAAAAATTATTTTTTAAATATTTGTTGAAAAATTATGCAAAAATGGCGATACTACTGGTGATATCGATATAGACGGCAATATGTTTGAACAGGTAGAGAAATTTAGGTACCTAGGTTCTACGATAACTAGAAAAAACGAAATTGAAGAAGAGATTAAGGTTAGACTGAAGGCGGGAAATGCTTGTTATTTTTCTGTGACAAAACTACTTAGTTCGCGCCTCTTGTCCCGGAACTTAAAAATTAGAATCTATAAAACAATTATCTTGCCTACAGTTCTTTATGGATGCGAAACTTGGCCGCTTACACTAAGGGGTGAGCAGTGCCTAAAGGTTTTTGAAAATAAAGTATTGCGTAGAATATTCGGACCGAAGAAGGATGAGTTAACCGGAGAGTTCAGACGGTCACACAACGCCGAATTGCGTGAGCTGTATCCGGGTAATATAATTGAGGTAATTTCATCGCGGCGAATCAAATGGGCTTGTAAAGTTGTTGGGCTTAGTAACGAGAGAATTCCTAAAAGGTTAATATTTGCTGTGCCGAATGGTAAGCGTCCGAGGGGTAGACCGAAGCGAAGGTGGGAAGATTGTATTAAAGCCGATCTGAAGGGACTGGGTTTGGACGGCGAACGGTGGAGGGAGGTATGTAATAATCCGTTTTGGATAGAAACGGACATGGATTTTAGGGGACTTTTCATGGTTGATTTTGCATTCGATAAGGAACTAATTCCCACATTTACAGCCAATTATGAATTTTCTTGATATCGGCACTGTTATTTGCCTATTTTTACTTAAAATTCTCTTATGATTTATTATTCTTTAGATTGTAGCTGTGTAAGCTTCCTTAAGTCAGTAGAAAAATGTATTTCTTAAACTACTCACTGGTGGAGTCGAGGCCGTGCTGGTTGCTGGGACAAGCCTGGCTGGTGAGAGAGCCGGGCTGGATAGGCGGCCAGCAAAGCACTTTGTCCCACACAGCTGGGCAGTAGCCTGCAATCATTGTAGTTTTATTAGATATTAAATAATTTATTATATATACACACACACACACACACACACACACACACACACACACACACACACACACACACACACACACACACACACACACACACACACACACACACACACACACACACACACACACACACAAGTTTATTGAACAATAATACAATCTGCCACGTTGAAGGGCAGCATGTATTTGGCCTACAAGTATTCAATCATACAATCCATAAACATAAAAGAGAAATAAATAATAAAGAGCATGATCAATGAGATTTCATTAATGTTTCAACTATAAAACTTTTACTTTACTGAAATTCGACTTAGTAGCAGAGTCAAATAAATTCATTTCAACACTATTTATTTATGAAATAAATGAATTCAGTAATATATTAATTGTTGACATCTTATTACAGTAAATGAAAAAGAAAGGCTCCATGTACAAGTGTAGTAATTATAGAGGCATAGCACTCCTCGTGACTATAAGATAGTGACCAATACTGTCTTTGGAAAATCATGACTGAACTAGGAATTCCTGGGAAGTTTGTGAAATTGATGAAGGCGTGTACAAATTGACCCTAGATATAGAGTTAAAATGAGGATTTTAAAAAAATGTAACCATGTAAGAATTATTTAGTTATTTTTAGTAAATTTTTCTTATATGCAAAAATAGACTTTTGCAATCTGGTCGGATCAAATTGCAATTATTGGTCAATAAGCTCTGAACTGTAAAAATAAAAAAAAGAAGAAATGATAAGTATCTTCAAAGTTCGAACTGGCTTACAGTAGGGTGATGGTCTTTCGCCGATGTGCAACAACTAAATGCCAAGAGCAACATCACACGAAAATTGGAGGATTTACTTCGGAATGAACCATAAAATCTTTGAATATGCAGATGATATAGTTGTTCTTGGAAGCAATCTAGACTCAGATAAGAGCATATCGAGAGCATATCGGCTTACAAGTAAATGAAGTTAAACCAAAATAAATGATCATAAGCCGAATATTCCACGCCTATAATAGGATCTGCGTACAACGAAAATCTTTCCCGAGATTAGACAAATTCAAATATCCTGGCTCCACAAATAACCTCGATGAACGCCCAATCATCGAAAATAGCACATAACTAACGCTTTCACCCTTTTCTTTCAAATCCCAAAAAATCTCAAATTAAGGATATAAAATACAATGGTAAAGCCATTTCTGATATACGGCTGCGAAACTTGGAAACTGATTGGCACCCTAGAAAGAAGTATTGAAAGATTTAAGAGAAAAATCCTCCGCACGTTAACCAGAGCGATCAGAGATTTGAATAATAACGCATGGTGGAGAAGGAACAATAAGGAATGGCTTACAGAAACTGTCCATTTAATATTTAATAATATAAAAGCAAGTATGTTTAGTAATTTGGGGTGTGTAGCTCGGAGCATTCCATCAGGCTGGGGTCAAAAATCAGATGGATTGATCGAATCATGAAAGATGCAACAGAGCTGCATCCTGTTACCTGGAAAGATATGTACAAGATAAGCAAAATGGAGAAGGTATGTTAAGGTGCCGAAATATTTAGAAGGTCTGTTATGGTAACAGAAAAAAAAATGCCCCTATTTATATCTGTATTCATTCTATGTCGGAATGAAGAGGTAACTAACTGTCACACTTTTCCCTCCCTGCCCTATGATCATAATCCTATTGGATATTTATAAAAATCTATGGAATAGAGTTTTTCTCTCTCATGCCTCTGTTGTATCACAAAACGAATTCAGAGTAACAATCAAAATTATGTGTGTAAAGGAAAACAAAAATTGAGTAACGATAAAAAAAAATGTCAGATAAATACTATTTGTTATAATTAATTTTATTTATGAAGAAATACTTAACAATTTATAATTAACTTCGTGAGTGTAATAAAATAATACCCTAACAAAACTCTCTTGAGTTTCCTATTCACTGCCCACACGGTCCTCCATTTAATAGCAGGAATAACCTCCTCCTTGAAGGTAATACTGAGGAAAGACACATAAAAGCTATGGTTGTTCATCTATAGCGTTACTTATTACTGATTGTTTTCAAGTTTTTCTTAGTTTTATTAAATACAAAAACATTTATATAACCATTTAGTCCGTGGTACTGACCCCTTGTTATCGAATTATTAACATCCGTCTGAAACTTCGTAAATAGTTTCATCTCATCGTAACCTACAACTATTTTATTTAGGAAAACTCTTGGAATTGGGGCGTATTCAATCTGGAGGGGAGCAAACTTTGTCTATTTTATTAGATTCTAAAAACTCATGAAAGCACATTTGTTTCCTACTTGGATCGTATGATAATTTGATAGAAAATCGATAAAAAAAGGTGACCTTCAGAAATATTGAGCCGTTTGGTGTGACTTCCAAATCTTCACTCCCAAATGTTCAAAATAACGAGGTTATATAGGACAAACGGCCCAATATTTTTGTAGCCCACCTTTTTTTATAGATTATGTGATCAAATTATCTTACGATCCAAGAGGAAACCAAATGCTTACTTTCGAGTTTTTGGTACCTAATTAAATAGACAAAGTTTGCTGACCTGGAGATTAAAATGCCCCAATTCCGAGAATTTTCGTAAATAAAATATTTGTAGGTTAGGATGAGATGAAGCTATTTACGTTAAGTTTTAGCCGGATGTTAATGATTGATAAAAAGAGGTCTGTACCACGGACTAAATGATTAGATAGGGTTAATGTAATGTTCGTTCTTGAAAAATAAAAAAAAACGTGAAAATAACCATAAAAAGATTTACTGAAAAATATTATAAAATAAAAAAATGTCTATTTTCAAAGAAACACGATTATATATCCTATTAAATATTTATGTGATATTTTATTTTAAAAATGCGAATAGTAATTCTATGGTATACAGTTGTAACTGTTGGTAGAATAGAAGAATCTAATGGTACCCGCGGGCACTATATTGACCTCAGGTCTATATTATACCTAACCTTATTTAATTCGTGTAGCTCAATGAAATTTCAAATTTTTGAATGTATACGTTATCTGTTTTTCATTAAACTCAATTTCAATCTACTCACTATAAGTTAGCCATACACGCAAAGTCCATTTCAATTACAATTTAATATACAAATTTTCATTTTAAATTTAACATTTCAAGTTGACAAAAATTAAACAAATATTTTTTCTTCGTCGTAGTTTATTATTTAATGTTTAAATGATTTCGTGTCGTCTCGTAGTTTCTTAAATTATTAACTCCTTGCTAAAAGGGAATTCGTAATCGACCTAACTTGCAATAAAAAATAGATAGGATGTTGTAAAGTCAAACCTCTCTTCGAACCGTGACTAAGAAATCCTCTTAAAAGTTTTGGGTTCGATTTCTATCTCGTTCGCTGTAAGGAAGTTAGATCCGATAAAGTATGTGGTTGCTTCTTGCATCATTACCTCTCCTGATGAAATTTAAGCGATAATGTTAAAGAGTAATCTATCATTTTTTTTTTTTAATTAAAAGCTTATTTATTGAGAAATATTACACTCTGTCTCAATTAAGGACATTTATTAAGTGCATATTCACACTCTATGTATAATAAATAAAAATTAAATTAAACAGCAAAATAATGATACTAAAAGTAAATGTATATAAATAAAAAGAAACTTAACTAATGAAAACAACAACTTAAATACAAGCATATTTTTACAAAGGTCATTCATTCAGAAGGCTGTGCAGAGGCACTACATCCACTGTCGCAGTGGAGAATTTGGGAAGAATTCAAATATATGCTTATTATAAAAGTGGGCCACTGCCACTTCAAACTTTGAGGAGGATTTTAGAGATAGGTGGAGCTAGATATGGATTGCGCAAGTGTACTTTTATGATATATAAGGTTCTAATGGAATTGGGAAAAATTTTTCTGGGATAAAGTCTAGGATGAATGGTATCGTGTAATATTAAAGTTATGGTGTTGGGTTTTGTTGGTTACATAGAACGGAGCATGAACTATTGTTTGAAGGACTTTGGATTTCAGGATTGTCTTGTAGATTAGTAATTAGTTTTCAATAGAATGTTTAGATTTTCTGTTCACTAGTCTGCATAGTTGCACATTTCGTCGTTTGAGTTCTTATCTTTTAAGTCTAGTATGTGGGTTCCATGTTAGTCTTCCGTCCAAAAGAAAGTCAAGATACCGTACTGTATCTTAGAAAGGAAGCTGGATCGAATTAAAGTGGACATGAATTTCGTCAAGAAACAAAACGTCAATATTACTTGAATTGAAATGAGTGATACTTGAAAATTAAATATCGACCGTTACTGATTAAATGTTTTACACATTAATTGAGTTAATTTTTTCCCAAATATTTATATGAAAGTATTGTTAGTTTTCAAATTATCCTTGAAAATATTACCATTAAAAATAAATAAATTATTTCTCTTGTTACAGCATCAGTAAGCTATTCTTTCTGAATTACGTTTTTTATCTCTCAGTTCGTTAAATTATTCAAGGATTGTTCATCACACTTTTTTTTCCTCCGAGCTTGAGCCACTTAAGGAAGTTAGAAATAGAAATAGCAAATAAACTTTAGTCTGGGACAAAGTCCTCTTAGAATAACAATAATGAAAAAATACAAAAGAAATAAAATATAAAAATAAAATAAAATTTTCTCAAGAATATTTATTGCTGCAATGAAACAAAAACAAACAAAAAAAACCATTACACATATAGAAAGATAAAGTACTGACTTTTTATGTTAAAACATAAACGTATAAAACATAAAAATATATACATAGCTTAAAGATATATTAATGAAAGCTGATGAGCAATGGGATCACAATATTGCACTATCGAGGTGTAAGAGAAATAAAATAACAATTAGTTGATATATACAATTGAAAACGTACATTAAAATTTATTTTATATTATTTTATGAGAAAACCATTGTAGCGACAAAAAAAAATTAACTTTAAGACAATAAATTATTTATATATATATTACTTTAAATCTTTGGATAAATATTCGTACATAGAATCTTGTAAATCGAAAAAATAAATAAATAAAAACAAACAATTTCTTCAAATAATTGAGTATGAAAAAAAATAATAAAACCTAGTTACACAATTAATAATTAGCCAGCGTCTGATTAAATGGTGAAGTGGAATTGAAATAAGAACGTTTTAAATGCCGATAAGCGGGATGGAATTCCAAAAAGTGTTGGAACGGACAAGAAAGGAGTGTTGAAATGAAGCAGATCTGTGGAGAGGGGTGTAAAAATCAGAAGAACAAAATCTTGTAGAGATGGAGTGTATCCCGTCACCGAGACTGGGCCTTCTCTAAAAGCCCTCGCCAGTCAATACGGTCAGCTACAGCAGCTCTCCAGTTTCGGACTCTCAGTAGAGCACGTGCTTCCGATGCCACGGAGTCCTCCCATCTTACATTTGGCCTGCCAACCTTTCTTCGTCCATGCATCTTTCCGGACAGCATCTTCCTGTGTATCGCCGACTCATTAATACGTGCGACGTGCCCGGTCCATCGAAGTAGTCCTATGTTGATAAACTTTACCAAGTCTATATCATATCATATATTATAAAGGCCAGCAAGTTCGGCATTTCTCCTTCTTCTCCAAATTTCACCCTCTCTGGCAGGACCGAAAAATCCTTCTCAAGGCTTCTTAAAGGCCCCTGCTTCTGATCCATAAGTTAAAACAGGGCGGACCAAGGTTTTGTAGTGAGTGATCTTGGCCCTATTAAAGAGGAACCTGCTTCTAAAATGCTTTCCAATGCAAAAGTAGCACCGTCTCGCCGTTGCTATCCTTCTATTGCCTGTCGTAAACACGGGAACGTCTCGGGGCTGCATTGACAAAGCTTAGGTAGTTATTCATAATTCTTTTTAGTCTGTCTCCGAGTTCCACCAAGAGGCCCCTGTACACCATGCCGCCATAGTCATGGTGGGGGAAGATGAGAGAGGATAGTAGGAGTCTACGTGTGGGTATAGATAGGAGAGGTCGGAAGCGATGGAATAGTTTAAGGGAACAAATTGACCGTCGAGGGGTGTGTGCATTATGGAGATTTCAGGAGAGGGTTTGGTGAAGGAAAATGTCTAGGTTTTTAACTGAGGAGCTAAAGATGATGGGGTGGTCATTTAGGTATAGAATAGGAATGTTAGTATTGTATTTGAGGTGGGATTTGGAATTAATGAAAATGACCTGAGTTTTATCAGCGTTTAACCTTAATCCATTTATGCATACCCAGGCACTGATTCGATTTAGATCTTCTTGGATTTTGGCATACGCTTCATGTAACTCAGAAGGAGGGAAGGAAAGGTAAATTTGGGAATCATCGGAATAGAGGTGGTGGGAACAGTGGATTGATTTAGGGATGTCGTTGATATAGGAACTAAAAAGCAGAGGAGACATGCTAGAGCCCTGAGCAACTCCTGATAGGCACAAGAATTGTGCTTTCTGACAAGGGGACTAACATATCAATCAAATTTGTTTTCGGTGATACTACATCAAAAAGTATTGGACAAATGCCCCGATGTTTGTTCCAATGCGTCCTTTTAACCGAGAACTAAGTATTTTATATAATTTCAAACTAAGTTTGTGTTTTTTTTTCCTTTCCTTTGCCCGGATTTTCGGTTTACTATACATCATTAGATTTCTTTTTTTTGTGCAGAATAAGAAAACAATATTGACTAGGGTATTAAACGAGTTATACTGTATCATAAATTACAAATACCAAAAGGCGCCTCCAGTAAAGCAGGCTAAGTAAATGAAAAAGTGTGATGAAAAAGGAAGTTACATTCTGGCTTTTAGTATCCATTAAAAATTTTTTTTTAAAAAATTTATATATTGAGAACTATTACAATCTGTCACAATTAAGGACATTTATAGCAGTACTCAGAGAGTACATTCACACTATATTTATAATAAATAAGAATAAATGGTACAGAAAAATAATAATACTAAAAAAGTAAAACTATTAAATACGAGTTTTTATAGAAATCAAAAATTGTAAATCTTAATACTTTATTTTCTTGGAGGATATTTTTTCCAACTGATCAATAAAACAATTATAACTTCTCAGGATTTGATCTAAATTCACCATTGGAAAGCTAAGTTAATGCTCTCTCAGCCCATATCGATAACTTTAGATTTCTTCAGTTTTAAAGCTAGATATTTAATTAGAAAAATTTCTCAAACATTATTATTTTATATATTTGGTTCTAATTTGTTCGCGGTTTTGTACCATTTCGTGTACAGTATACATCCCCATGTCTCTAAAAATTTTTGGATCAGTAGTCAGTAGTCTTCCTGACGTTATTCAAGTAGTCTTCGACAAGTTTCGAAGGGTACAGCCAAGGTCGAAATTTTCGTTTTTTATTATGCGGTACTTTGTTGATCTTTATTATTTTTATCTTAGCCTGAATAAAGTCTTGAGACCTAAATCGGAAAGAAAATAAAAATTTTGGAAGACAGCAAGACCCTTTTTAACTTCGTTCAATATAGATTGGATAACATTGAAAGTAGTTATTTTAAAATTATTGTTAACTAATTTGCTTGATCTATGATGGAAGGGGCGAGAGGAGGAGCCACGGACGAGTTGAGATGGATATGTTGGAGAGTATTTTGCAGTGAAGAATAGTGAGCCGCTGGGTGGGACCTACTCGAGAACTGAAGGCTCAGCAGTGCTCCAGTCTCCAGTCTTCAGCCTCCAGTCGAGTATCTGGTCGATCCCATTTATCGGCATTAGCAAATTTTCTTCAAAGTAATGTTACTGCAAATCAAGTAGTCAACACCCTTCTTAAGACCTTTTCTCCCATCTAGGTGCAGTTAATAATTTAATTTAAATGGGATTAATATATTTTCAGTTGTCAGATGATTTTTTTATGTAATGAATGTCATCTGAATTTATTTTACAACAGAGTTCTTGTTGATGGAAAGAGAAAATCTACTAATCTACTAACTCCAAATATTTATGTTTCAAATATATATAACACATTATTTCCATTACCACTTCCAAATTAAATATAAGAATTGTTGGTTTGCATACATTTTTGTTTTCATTTTTTATTAAAACAAGCTGTACCCGGCCACGCGTTGCTGTGGCTTCGTTTGGTTGAACAGAAAAATAAATAAAAAATAAAGCAGGTATTTCTAATATATTTTATTCCATAATACTTGTGGATAAGCGATATTTTTTGTTGTTCTCCTTTTTGTATAAATATAGAGATTGTCTGGTTTTCCAACTCTAGAGTACGCAACATAAATTATCTATGTTAGAAGCAATCCATCTCTAAATCTCCGAAGAAAAAGTTTTAAATGTTTAAAATATTATATCTCTGCACCAAATCGTCCGATTTTAGTGATTGCTTTTTAATTCGTTGAGAATTCAGGAAACTTTCAAATAATCATGGGTATAATCAATCACAAAATTGTGACGAACATTTACATTTTTATTTATATAGATAGACAATCCCGTTATTTTTCAAATGACGATTCCGAGTAATCACTCGGAAACTCCAAAAAACTTTTTAATTTATGTATATTACTAAAGACCGGATTTCCATGCTATTGCACATTTAATTCGCCTGCGTGTAAAAACTCCGGACCCGAATATTTATCTGCTACAGGATTTTTAGAATAATTTTATATTCCTCGAAACTGCATGTTTTGTCGTTTTTGGCTTAAATTGCACGATTTTGATTTTTGTTGTATCAAACTGCACATTTTTGCACTTTTGTGATAAATTAGATAATTTATAAATACAAGTGTATGTGTTTTAATATTTACCTTTTTATTTTACTTCATTTTTCAAATTAAGTAGATTATTAAAAAAAAATGTGAGGAAAGATAATAATCCTGGGACCAGCAAAAGTTTTGGAATGCATAATATTGAAAATTTCTACTCGATTAAAAAATAAAGTTTTCATTATTATTTTTAATAAAAATTAAATATCTAAAATTGGTCTGGTCTAAATAATATATAATTCTTGATACCTATAATTCTTTCCTTCAAACCTTCAATGTTCTTTATTATCTCATTCCTTGTGTCTCAGAAAATTGATGACCGATTTAAGGACAATCAAACAAATATATTCGATTATTTGTCTGTTAATTATTGAGACCTCATTCTATGGAGAGAAAAATTAATCGAGATTTGATCCAAGTCTTTTATATTTTATCATGAAATGTTTGTTGTTAAATGATAGAAATGGGTAATAAATCAATGTTAGATTTGTGTAATCCTTATTATTTTTATTAATACGTAACATAAAATTGGACATAAAAATTAAATTTGAGATCCGCAAATTTCTTTGCAATGAGCAAATTTTTTTGCAGCTTCACAGCGTCCCATCACAATCCAGGAAATAGTTCAGTTCAGCATTTCTCTTGGCCACCGCCTACGTAATCGTCGAGGTGGGCTGTACGGGTTTCTAGTACTTTTAAGGTTTTCTGTCAGAGGATTTGTGTTGTAAGTTAGTCTTTGGTGAAAGATATTTTAGTTTTCTTTTGCAGTATCTAAAATTGTCGGGATGTTCAAGTTTTTATGTAAACTATCGTTTGCGACATAAAATGGTGCGTCAACTATTCTTCGTAAAATTTTGGGTTGGAAAGACTGGATTATTTTATATTGGAAGTTTTAACAGAACCCCACAGTTCTATGCCATAAGTCCAAATTGGTTTAAGTAAAACTTTATAGAGAGTTAGTTTGTTAGTCGAAGATAATTTTGAACATCTGTCAAGTAACCTAGATAAAAGACCGTATCGTCTGTTTAATTCCATACGTTTTCGTCTAATGTGTGTCTTCCAAGTTAGTCTTTTTTCCATGTAAAAACACAAATATTTAATTACATCGGATGAAGGAATTTCAATATTATTAAAATATATTTCAGGGGAAGGGGTATGATTAAGAGTGAATACTACGTACATACTTGTTTTTTCATTCTTTTAATTTTCCACCTTGTGGCCCTATCAGCAATATCGTTCAAGTGGTTTTGAAGAGTGGTGGCTGCTCGAATAGGATTTTTATCTGAACTGAGGATTGCGGTTAATCCTTATTATTGTTTAAATTTCTCTTTCTTTAAGATTTAGGTTAGTTATAATATATTATATTTATTGTTCGGTTTGTTGATTATAATCTGGAATTTCATTTTCAATATTACATTTAAAATTTTTTTTTATCTTCCTTTGAACTCAAGATCTGATAAGATTTCGATGTATTAATGTTGTAAATTAACAAATATTGATGATGTTGTACGTTTTTAGGTGTTAATTACACAATTTTGTGTATTTTGGGTTTTACTGCACGATTTTGCATATATTAAGTTTTTGCTGCACTGTTTTCGGATTTTTACTGCTCGAAAACTTTACACCTATTATAAACTTACCTATAGGTGTAAAGGTTTCGAATTAACAAAAGAACAGCTTAGCATTAGAACATATACGAAAAATTCAAAAAGCTATTTCTATTTCAATTTCGACATTTTTAGGTAATTTTGAATAATCACTTTTAAAAATGATTAAAAAGTTCGTACTTTTTGAGTAATTCGTAAATTAATTATAGCATTCGTTACAACTTTTTTTCCAACTTCTTTTCGTGGAAGTTTGTTATGCACATATTAAATGAACTTCAAAGAGTCTCTTCTCTCAGACAAGTTTTATTAAAATCACTACAGCCGTTTTAAAGCTACAGTCACACGTTTTTTGGCCTAAACGGAGGATGTCATGGCGAGTTGAGAGGACAATATTCTAGTGACCTCTGACTATGATGCAATCGGCGGACAACCAGTACACTAGAAATGGGAATAAAAAAGTAATTTTGGGGAGGGTCAGCAATTTCTTTCTTGACCAATTACAATGGTTAATTATTTAAAATATTAATGGAAAATGAACTGGTCCAATTCTTATATTTCTTTCTTATACGGCATCTT